GCAGGCCGGGGGCCGGCTGTGCCGAGCCGACGGCAGCGTGGGCCCTTCGGGGAGGGAGGGGCGCGCCTGAACCTCGCTTTTCTCTGCTCCCAGCCCGGCGTATTGTGTTCTCTCTGCGCGTCTTCTACCTTCCTGTTACCCGCACCACCCTTCCTCTTTGCCGCGGTCCTCCGCTTTGCTCCAGTTGGTCACTTACTCAGGCTCCCTTTTTACTTAGTCTTGAGATTTTCAGACGCCGGCAACACTTGCGAGTCCCGTTCCTCCCACCCGCATGTCTCCATCTTTCCCTTCTCCCTAAGTCCCGCACTGGAGTGATGGCAGCACGGGGGCGTGCGCTTTGCGTTTACTTGCAGCTTCACCTGTCCCCTAGCCCGACTCTTGGCGGTCGAGCCACACCCACGCTGAAAACTACCCCCTAGGCAGGGAACACCTGGTCCCAGGGATGACTGAGAATATGTTCTCTTTTTCTCATGGTGGTTTGCTAGTCTAGATATTTGTTAAGCTCGTGTATTTTTGTGGGATGGGAAGGAGAGATTAGAATGAGCTGAAGGCTATTGACAGGTAAGAACATTTTTTAAAAATAGATATGTAGGATTAAAGAAAAGAGGACTGAAAGAAAACTGAGGATGCTAGGACAATGAGATTTTCAACTTTTCCTATTAGGAGATTTTCGGAACTAAAGTATACAAGTTCAAGTGTGATATGATGAAGTGTTTGTTTTTTGCTCTACAGAGGTGAGCTTGTCTAACTACAATTTTCTTTTTTTCTATTTCTTTGATTATTTTTATTTATATCAAACAAACCTTGCAGTAAAAGTACATTTCTAATTTGCTATTATCCTGATTTTATAAAATGGTCCTTACCTAAATTGAATATAACCACCTTTTGAGAAAACTCAGAAAAAGATAGCCTACTGTGTAAACTGTCTACTATAACAGTATAATTCACTGTCATCTTGGGAAGCATTTCATGAGAAGTAAGGATCTTTGGTAGGACCCTAGTCTTTTTTTTTTGAGAGAGAGATTTTCGCTATAGGGCGTGTGCGCTCGCCAGACAGAGAGAGACATAGAGACAGAAAGCGAGAAATCACCCCCCAGGGGGGATGGTCACACCGCAATCCCTTCTCCTCCATTCTCCTCTTGGGATCTTGGGCACACACGCACATGCGCCCGGCGTGAGTTTTAAGCCACCGGGTCTGGGACGTGAACCATGGTCGACTACGTGGGAGCCCAGCGACATAGACATTACGCTAACTACTGGTTCCCAGGACCCTAGTCTTCTGAAAGGACAGTTCTCACAAGTGAAATCTGATTCAAGGGAAAGCTGGACAGCCTTACAGGGGTAAAGAAGTAGCCAAAAAGGAAGAAGAAATATTACAGAAAGAGCATTTCAGTTGGGTAGGGCAGGGAAGAAAATATGGCTTATTTCCACCCTTGTGTTCTGGTGCTTATGAGAAGTTTTTTTCTATATATGTTGCTGATTGTCAGTGTTACTAGCCAGCTATCCTGGCTATTACCACTACTCACTAATTTTTATCTGCCCCCTCAAGTGATTTCATAAACCTTACTATGGAGGCAGTGAAAGGTAACCCAAAGAATAACCAACACATGGGACATTCACACTGCTTTGCCATTTAATGGAGATTGTTTTGCTGTCTGTGGTATTTAATAAAATACATACTGTTACTGCTGTTTAGTTTTAAATGCATTTTAACTGCCTGGTTTCCTTTCTTTAGATTAACGTTTTAGGAAACAATTTTGTGATGCTCGATTCACCCTTGAAGTAATGCGGACAGAATTTCTGAAATTTGCATACCACATCAGCTGGAACCACCGGCATATCTTCATGTTTACTTAAATCAGAACTTGTATAAGAGTGAGAATGGGAGTCTGGGTAAATAAAAACAGTTGTATCAGAGACTTGAAAAGGATCATTTTTTGTTTTCTGATTGTGTATCTGGCTGTTTTAGTGGGCACAGATCAGGATTTTTACAGTTTGCTTGGAGTATCCAAAACCGCAAGCAGCAGAGAAATAAGACAGGCTTTCAAGAAATTGGCATTGAAATTGCATCCTGATAAAAACCCGGTAGGTAAAGATTTATTTTTAAAAATATCCGATTAGATTTTAGTATATTTTGATATATACTTAAATTTTTGTACTCAAAATACTTAAGAACGAGCAAATGCCAAAAATTATAATTCAGCTGCAGTACTAAAAACAGAAGCAAAATGTTCTAGTTTAGAATAGCATGAAGGATATTAATGCCAAAAATCCATTTCCCTCTTAATTCATAAACTAATTTCCAGCAGTTCTATTATAGACCTTCATCCCAAAACAAATAATATCTGTGAAGTAGTCGAAGTAGTTTTCTAAGTAAAGTAGGTTAATATTAAATATTTTAGAACAGTAACAGGAAAACTTTCTTTAGAACTTAGAGGGTATGTCTTGCTAAAAATGCAGTAGTGACTATTAATAGTATGCTTTAACTTTTGCTATTTTTTCCTGTGTGCAAGCTCACAGACCAGAATGAGAAAATATTATAAATTCATACTTAAGAATGGTCAAATATAAGTCTAATCATAAATACTTGATTATATATTTAATAATGCAATCTTTCAGGGGACCAGCATTTGGAGTAACAGCTGTGTCCCTGGGCTCCCATGTAGTCGACTTCGGTTCAAGTCTCGGACCCGGTGGCTTAAACTCCTACCGAGTGTGTGTGCATGTGTGCCCAGGATCTCCAGAGGAGAATGGAGGAAAAGGGATCGCGGCATGGCCATCCTCCCTGGGGAGTGATTTCTCGCTTTCTGTCTCTCTGTCTCTCTCTCTCTGTCTTCCTGGCAAGTGCACATACACTATAGCAAAAACCTCTCCAAAAATAAATAAATAAATACAATCTTTCAAAAGTAAGTTTTAATTTTTATAGTACTTATATAACTTACATAATATTTTGGTTATAATATTTTATCTTCATTAACATGGAAAAAGATGTGTTTTTTTAGACATTCTAAGTAGAATTTTTAAAGTAGGATTATTTTATTTCAATTATATAAAACGTAGCAATAGAAATAAAACTTTAGTGATCAACAGTTGGCATAATGGCTATGTCGCTAGACTCCCATGTAGTCGACCGCAGTTTGAGTCCCGGACCCGGTGGCTTTAACTCACACTGGGCGTGTGTGCCTGCGTGCCCAAGATCCCGAGAGGAGAATGGAGGAGAAGGGATTGTGGTATGGCCATCCCCCCTGGGGGGGGTGGTGATTTATAGTAATTTGCTATAGGGTGCCAGAAAGACAGAGAGAGACAGACAGAAAGCCAGAAATCACCCCCCCCCTGGGGGGGATGGCCACACTGCAGTCACTTCCCCTCCATTCTCCTCTCAGGATCTTGCCGGAAATGAGTTAAAGCCCCCAGGTCTGGGACTTGAACCACAGTTGACTGTGTGGGAGTCCAGCAACATAGCCATTATGTCAGCTGCTGGTCCCAAAGAGAAATAAAACCTTACAACTCATGTTAGTTGGTTATTCTTTGACTTTCTTGTTACGTTTATTATTTTTATTTTTCTGAAATTTTTATATATTTAAGTTTCCACGTAAAAGATAGCATACCTTCTACATTCAAGTATTTAAATGAAAACATCCTTCAATATCAATACAATGAATCACAGTAACTATAGAGAAACAGTTCCAATTCAGTTCTTTTTTTTTTTCTTTAATGCCAGAGTCTGTGTACCCATGAGAAAGAGAGGGAGAAAGAGAAAGCCTCCACTCAGTGTGACTAGGTCCCACTAATTTTTTTTTTCTCCATTCTATTTCTTTTTTTTTTTTTGGAGAGGTTTTTGCTATAGGGCGCGTGCACTCCCCGGACAGAGACAGAGAGACAGAAAGTGAGAAATCACCCCTTAGGGGTATGGCCACGCCATAATCCCTTCTCTGTTCTCCTCTCAGGATCTTGGGCACACACGCATGAGTTTTAAGCCACCGGGTCCGGGATGCAAACTGCAGTCAACTACATGGGAGTCCAGCGACATAGCCATTACGCCAACTGCTGGTCCCATTCTTTATCCTATCAGGATGCTGGACACATTCATGTGTTTTAACTGGCATATTTTTCAAACCTGTGGAGCAGGGACTTGAACCCTGGTTAGTCACGCAGGATCTGATTTCTCTTTGTAGTCCCTCACCCCTGTGCTGTGGGACCAGCCCCCAATCCAGTTTTAAGTTGTTAGTGTTTGATCTTTCTGATGGATGGGAGCAGATAGTTTTTTTTAGTTGATTAACTTTTTTTTTGTTTTTTTTTTTTGATTTCATGATAGAGCATATGCTTCCATACAGGAGAGAAGTGCAAGATGGAGGCACCCTCCACAGAGCTGGGTAACTTCCATGTTCCTCTTTCTCCAGCCCACCAGGATCCTGGTCGTGTGTGTAGTGTTTGGCTTGTCTTTAGGCCAGTTGTGCCTAGAATTCAAGCCAGCTGACATATAGCTCAGCTTTGCAGTCCATTACGCTACCAACTGCACCACAGAGGCAGGGCTTCAACTACATTTCTTAAAAGCAGTGACTTACATTGTGTGGCTACATCTGTCAGGATTTTGAGGAGTCAGTTATTTTCATCACTTACTCCTTTTTTGAAGAGAGTAGTCTCTTAGAAAATACTTTTGTATTCTAACCAATGTTAATTCACTTCACATTTTACTACTTATGTGTACCTATGGTTTCCCAGAACTCTCTGGGTTAACTAAATCTATGTAAAGGTTCTGAAGAGATTTAGATCATATATTTGAAGTGACTATGTTATATATAATATTTTTTAACAGAACAACCCAAATGCACATGGTGATTTTTAAAAAATCAATAGAGCATATGAAGTACTCAAAGATGAAGATCTACGAAAAAAGTATGACAAGTATGGAGAAAAGGGACTTGAAGATAATCAAGGAGGCCAGTATGAAAGCTGGAACTACTATCGTTATGATTTTGGTAAGATGATACAACATTACTCATGAAATTGTCTTTTATCTTTTATATTAGACTAAAATATTTTAAATTCGTATCTAGAAAATATGCTTCTCAAGGTTAATTTTCTTTTCAAAATAGTATTTTCAAGTATATTCCTCACAGCGTAATCTGTCAGTGTCAGGTGTTGGCAAACTGCATTTCACAGAAAAAATTTTATTTCATCAGATTATGTATTTACTATGTGTCACCTTAACTAGCTCTTTTTAATTTACCACTGGAGTGGAATTCACAAGGAAAGTCTGTTGATCTGTGGAGATTATCTGTATAGATACAAAGGTATATTAGTTAAATCTTACTCAATGCTTTTGAAATAAGGATTGCTGGGCCAGCTCTTCAGCCTAGTGGTTAAGGGAGTCAGATCACTGCTGGCGGTGCTTTCTCCTCCTTGCTTTCTGTTTCTCACAAGTGCACGTCATGCCCTCTTAACTAAAAAAAAAATTAAATTAAAAAAATAATGATGACTATTTAATAAAAAATGTGTGTATGTAGTTGAAGAAGTTAAATATTGAAGCCTTTATATATTTGTTTTCCTTCTTTCATGAGAGAAAGTCAAACCATTATCCTTAGCAGACTCTTATCACATACAGCCCTCCTGTACCCCCTTGTCCTCCCACCCTATCTTTCAGCCAGCCAGGATCACAGGTGCCCATTGGTGCTCCTGGCGTGTTCAGTTTGACCTGGGTCCTAACCCAGGACCTTCCTATGCAGCTCCAGGGTACTGTGTAGCAATACCCTACCCCTGATACTGCTGTGATTGGGCCTAAAGCCTTTTTTTAATTTTCTTTTTTTTTTTTTTTTTTTAAGAGTTTTGCTATAGGGTGCATGCATTTGCTGGTGAGATGGAGAGACAGAGAGAGGGAAAGCAAGAAATTAGCCTCCAGGGGAATGGCCATGCCACAATCCCTTCTCCATTCTCCTCTTAGGACTTTGGGCATGCTTGCATATGCACACAGCTTGAGTTTCAAACCACCAGGTCCGAGACTTGAACAGTGGTCAGCCATGTGGGAGTCCAGCAATGTAACCATTATGCCATCTGCTGGTTCCAGGCCTGAAGCCTTTTAATGGTTTTTTAACATGGTGCCCAATATGAGATAGGCTAGAAGACTAGCAAGGGGGGTCTCAGTGTGAGCAGACCCTGTGGAAGGTGTTCCTCTCTCCCCCCTCTCTTTTCTTACTTTTCTGTGTGTGTGCCTTATCATGAGTAAAGAAAAAATAAACAATTTTTAAGCTTTTTTTTTTTTTAGCACATCATATTTTCCCAGTAGAGCTAGTCTTTCCTCTAATAGCAGGTCATTTTAGTTGAAATGTCATCCTTGTATGGAACCTTTATTGATAGTGGGCTAAGGTGTTAACAGGAATGAGAAAGAAACAGGTATAGAGTAGGAGAGGAAACAGGGACCAAGGGAGTAGGAAACCATGCACAGGTATGAAGGAGGAGGCTATGTCCATATAACCAGTGTTTCTCCTAGTCAGGAATTAGCCTCAAATGCAGGCTAAGAACTGAAGCATTCCATTATATTAGACTAAAATATTATAAATTTGTATCTAGAAAATATACTTCTCAAGATTATTTTTTTTTCTTTTTTTTGGAGAGGTTTTTGCTATAGGGCGCATGCGCTCGCCAAAAAGAGACAGAGAGTCAGAAAGCAAGAAATCACCCCCAGGGGGGATGGGCACGCATGCACACACTCCTAGCATGAATTTTAAGCCACTGGGTCTGGGACTCAAACCGCAGCTTGTATTGAAGCTTTATTGAAATGCAGTTTACGTATTATGTAGTCTAAGACTTCTTTCACACTTAGAGGGCAGAGTTAAGTAGTTGTGACAGAAACCATATATTTGACAAATACTGAAACATTAACTAATGGCCCTAAAAGAAAAATTTTATTAGACTATATCTAATATTAATATTATTTGGATATTTTATATAATTTTTTAGCTGTAGGAAAAGAAATTTTTTTAGAAAGATTTTTGCTATAGGGCACATGCATTTTCTGGAGAGACAAAGAGACAAAAAGTAAGAAATCACCCCCCCACGGGGATGGCCATGCCTCAATCCTTCTCCTCCTGGATCTTGGGCACGCACACACACGTGCCAGGTGTGAGTTTTAAGTCTCTGGGACTTGAACCAGGGTCAACTATGTGAGAGTCCAGCAACAGAATCATTGCACCATCTACTGGTCTCAGAAGAAAATATCTTAAATTAATACCACTTATGGGCCAGCAGGTGGTGTGATGGTTAAGGTGTTGTACTCCTACATGCCTGACCATGGTTCGAATTCTCAACCTGGGTAATTGCTTTCTCACTTTCTCTCTCTCTCTGAGTGCATATGCCTTATGCCAAATTTAAAATAATAATAAATAAAATTAAATAATTTTTTAAAAAAGTAATACTCCTTATTAAAAACCATAAAATGGAATGAAGTCTATAGTTTAGTTTATAGTAACAGACCATACCACTCTCAGTTCCCTGATTTTGATATTGTGTAATATCTACATGTCACCATTAGGGGAAGCTAGGTGAAGAGTACCGGAGAGTCTGGGTTTTGGCATTTCCTATGAGTCCTTTATTATTACATAATAAAAAGTTAAACATGAAAGAATTTTCTCTGGAAGTGAAATTATGTGAATATTAAGAACCCTCCCCCACATACCTATGATAGTCCATTATCGGTAAACTAACATTTTTAGATAACTAAGTATATCACCAATGATTTACTTTCTTTGGTCTTTCTCTTAGTTTGTGGCATATTTTTTGGTTTGAGATTTAGTATTCTGACTCTTTTTTTTTTTTAGAGAGAGAGTTTTACGTAGGGTACATGTGCTCATCTGAGAGACAGGAAGACAGAAAGCAAGAAATCATCTCCCAGAGGGTTGGCCACACCACAGTCCCTTCTCCTCCATTCTCTTCTCTGGATTTTGGGCATGCACACACATGTGCCCTGCATGAGTTTCATATCTCTGGGTCTGGGGCTCAAACCATGGTCAACCACATGTGAGTCTAGCACCACCTGCCTGGCACCAGTATTATGATTTTATTTTTTTAATGATTGAAACAAAAGTTGAATGATTTATTTTTATGGGGAAATTTTAATTTTATAATTTTTATGTATTTTTAAATTTAGGTATTTATGATGATGATCCTGAAATCATAACACTGGAAAGAAGAGAATTTGGTAAGTTCGTGGGCATATGATTTTTCTAAAACTACTACAAGTTCAGTCACCTACCTAAAATACTTAGAGAGATGTAATTTTGGGGGTTTTTGTGAGGTGATATAATATATACTTTTATGTTAGCATTCTCAAACCTTTCCACCTTCCCAGCACCAGGGACCTATGTGTGGAAAACAATCTCTCCACAGATGAGGGAAGGGGTGAGGTTGATCCCTGGATGACCCAAGCACACCACATCCACCATACACTCCATTTCTGCCACTACCACACTGCAGTATACAACGAAACAGTCACATAGTAATAGGGCTCACACTCCCATGAAAATCCAGTGACATCACTGATCCAACAGAAGATGGAGCCCAGGTGACAATGTAAGCAACAGGATGTGACTCCATATGTAAATGAAGCCACACTTGCTGGCTCACCACCTACCCGTAGCTGCATGGCCTGGAGGCCAGGGAGCAGGCCATGGACTAGCAGCAGTTCACAGTCAGGCAGGGTGAAGACCCTTGCTTTATATTAAATAGTGTTCTAGCATTATGTGAGTGTACCATAATAGAAACATTAATATGTCTATAGTGAAATTAGTAAGTATGTATACCAAATAAAAGAAGTACCAAATAAAAGACAGAAGTAATATATCGACGCTATTGGGTTCAGATCCGGTCTGGATGCCGTGAGCTTGCTACAGACTTGCAGAAAACACTTTCAGAACTTTTTGATTTCAGAATTGGGGGTAATATGTGCTTATTTTGGAAGCAGATTTAAGTTGATCCATGATTTTTGTGAAAATAGACATAAAAACAGTTCTACATTTTCTATTGCATTTCAGAAAATTATGAATACTAGATTAGATTCTTACACTTTCTGCTCTATACAATCATAGTAAAGTTGGTTTATTCTTCTTTTCAATGTCAAAGCAATAAATTAAACCTGAAATCAAATTCCAACTTTATTTTCCTCTCTTATAATCTCATTTGATTTATTGGGTTGTCAGAAAAGTCACAATGCATTTACGCAGCAGATGGTGCTCGTTCATTTTTAGAAGTTCTAGAGTCATTTGCCTCTATGTTATTCTATGTCATTTGACAGCTGACAGTTCTAGCTTCATTCTAAAAAAATTAAGTAATTTGGAGATTTGACAAAAGGTTGAACATGGGAAGACGAAACTGCATTTTCACCCTATATTATTGTTTCACTACTGTAAAGGAAAACATGTATCAAGCTTGTGAAAAGTGCTATGGTGACAGTGCTCTACAAAATATCAGGGCCAATGATGGATCTCGAAATTCCATGCTGGTGATTTTTGTCTCAATGACACTCCTCAGTTAGGGAGGCCCGCTAAGGTTGCTGACGACAAAATAAAAGCATTGATCGTGTTAAACCCATGTTACACAACATGAGAGACTTCAGAAACATTGAACATCCATCATTCAAGCATTCACAACCACCTGAAGAAGCTGGGACACATAAGCAAGCTTGATGTTAGGGTTCCTCAAGAACTCAAAGCTGTTCATTTGATGATGCATATAAACATCTGCGATATGCTCATTAAACATGAGGAAGACCATCCTTTTTTGAAGTGACTGATAACTGGTGATGAGAAGTGGATAGTTTACAACAAAGCGGTGCACAGATGGCCTTGGTCCCAAAGTGATAATTTGCCTCAAAAAACAACAAAAGCAGGGGACCAGCAGTTAGCGTAATAGCTATGTCGCTGGACTCCCACATAGTTGACCGCGGTTCGCGTCCCATACCCGGTGGCTTAAAACTCACGCCGGGCGCATGTGCGTGCGTGCGTGCCCAAGATCCCAAGAGGAGAATGGAGGAGAAGGGATTGCGGCTGACCATCCCCCCTGGGGGGTGATTTCTCGCTTTCTGTCTCTATGTCTCTCTCTGTCTGGCTGGCAAGTGCACACACCCTATAACGAAAACCTCTCCAAAAAAAAAAAAAAAGCAGATGATCATTAGAAGAACGTTATGCCTAGTGTGGTGGGATTTTTTTAAGTGAGATTTTTGCAGAGGACACAGAGAGTGAGAAATCACCCTCCAGAGGGGATGGCCATGCTACAATCCCTGCTCCTCTGTTCTGGGATTTGGGGCACACAAACTCACATGCCCAGAGTGTTTCAAACCACTGGGTCCAAGACTTGAACCACTGTCAGCCATGTGGGAGTCCAGCACCACAACTAGTACACCACCTACTGATCCCAGTGTGGTGGGATTTTAAAGGTGGTGTGTTTTTTTGAGCTCTTACCAAGGAACCAATCAATTCAAATGTGTACTGTTGGCAATTGGACAGTTTGAATGAATCCATCATCCAGAACTGTCCATAGTTCATTGATCATAAAGGAGTTATGTTTCATCCCAACAATGAAAGACCACACACAAGCTTGATCACCCATGAAAAATTATTGGAACTGGGAACCAGCAGTTAGCGTAATGGCTATGTCACTGGACTCCCACATAGTCTACCGCGGTTTGCGTCCCGGACCCGGTGGCTTAAAACTCATGCTGGGTGCATGTGCGTGCGTTCACAAGATCCTGAGAAGAGAATGGAGGAGAAGGGATTGTGGCATGGCTATCCCCCCAGGGGGTGATTTCTCACTTTCTGTCTCTCTGTCTCTCTGTCTGGCGAGCGCACAGGCCCTATAGCAAAAACCTCTCCCCCCCCAAAAAAAAAAATTGGAACTTGGGTGGGATATGTTGCCACACCCAGCATATTCATCTGACCTTGTGCTATCAGACTTCCACTTGTTTCACTCTCTTCAAAACTCCTTGTGCTATCAGACTTCCACTTGTTTCACTCTCTTCAAAACTCCTTGTGTGGCATAACATTCAGTTCAGAAAATTCTGTAAATCAGCTCTTATTTGATTTTACACTGATTAAGATCTGTCCTTCTATGAACAAGGAATTATGAAGCTCATGGAAAGATGGCAAAAGGTTATTGAGCAAAACAGGCAATATATCATTGATTGATCTTTGCTCTTTATGTAAATAAATGACCTTTGAAAAACATTGAACAGATACATCAGGACTTTTCCGATGACCCAATAGAAAGCTAAAATATTGGGTTATCAGAAAAGTCATGATGCATTTTTGCATAGAAAAACAAAAATTACACCATGAGTTTTCCAACAACCCAATAGTATACCAGTTGCAAAAAATATATATTTATGCATGATGTTTTCCATATATTGTCATTATAAAAAATGTTAAGTCACTTGATATTGTATATTTTGTTCTAAGCATAAGCAAGGTTTATATTTATTTTTATTTTGTAGGCAGTTTGGTAAGCTCAGTCATATACAGTATCTATTCAGTTACTTTTTTAAAAGTCTTACATAGAGCACATGAACAAGTTTTAATTATTATAAATAGACAATATATCTATAAAGGAAGTAGAGGAAACTTTGATTCAACTGAATTATTGGTGGGCAGAACTAACTCCCACATCACTGCACATAGTTCTGACTTTACTGTGTATAGTCACATGAACCCACAGCTTTTTACCATGTGGTTGTTATTTTCTCTCATCTCCTAGTGTATCAGTGGTGTTTTGAGGTCTGGTAGCACAGCAAACATTGAAATTACAGATAGAATGGAGGGACTGACCAAAACCTGCAAGCAAATTAATCCACAGATCCATCTAGAATGAGGTTTTTTGTTTGTTTGTTTATTTGTTTAAGAGGTTTTTGCTATAGGGCGCATGTACTTGCCAGACTGAGACAGAGAGACAGCAAGAAATCACTCCCCCCCCCCAGGGGGGATGACCATCCCACCATCCCTTCTCCTCCATTCTCCTCTCAGGATCTTGGGCACACACACACACACATACACGTCCAGCGTGAGTTTTAAGCCACCAAGTCCGGGACTCAAACCACGGTCGACTACATGGGAGTCCAGTGACATAGCCATTACGCTAACTGCTGGTCCCTAGAATGAGATTTTACTGATAGTTTATTGTATATGGGCTCAAACTTTTTCTGATGTCACTAAAAAGAAAAGAATTGCAAATGGTTCATATATAATCCCTAATGGTAGTTTAAAATACACTATATCCAGAAAACTTTAGAGATGATTCAAAGTTAATAATGATGGGATCAATTCATATCACCCACTATTTCATCTAATCTCTAATACTATATGTTACTAGACTAAGATGATTCTGAAATTTTAGTTGAAGAAATAGAGTAGATGGCAACCATAGTATGTAATCATTTTGCACTTAGGTAAATGTCACATTAGCCGTTTAGTTGTGGGTATCTGTTACAATCATTTCTGTTGATTTGAATTACCTAGTTTTGTCTTTTGTACAAATAATTATATAGAGTTTTTCTAAAGCAATGTTTGTCGTTTTCCTCCAGTAAGCAGTTATGTTCTTTTGACTAGAGTCATTATAATCTCTAATCAGCTTTATTCAATAGATTGAAGTGATTCAAAAGGTGAGCTTTGGACTTTAAAAAGACAGGTCACTTTCCAATTCATCTTTATTTAGAGAACCCTTCCTTAGATATATCCTGAACTCTATTTTTATTCCTCTGACCTCATGAATATATATGCAAGCTCTGTTCTATTGTTTGTCAATAACCTCTTCTGGAAGTGGCCATCATTGACTGATTCCTACCTCCTCTAATACCTTGGTCCCCTACTGATTCACTGTATTGGGTACTTTCAACAGTGCACAGTGGTCTTTTAAATTTGGTCCAGTTTTATAGTTGTTTGTAGTGGAAGAGTTAGTCCAAATTATATGAGAGTATGTCAGAAAGTTTATGGAAAAGTGCAATTAAAGTGTGAGATTATTTTGGTTCCAAAAAATTTGAAATCCATGCATAGATTTTTTTTTTTTTTGGCTATATGCATTTTCCATGAACTCTTTGAAAACCATTCCTCCAAATCTAGTTTATTTTCACCAGGAGTTGAACTTGAAAATATTCACCTTTAGTACAGATGAGAAAATGTTTTGGTAAACTCTACCTTAAAAGTTTTAGTCTCATCCCTTCCGTTAAATGTCATACATATTATTCTATTACATGTCATAGTTCAGTAATATGTCTGTGATTTATAAATAAGTTCTAGGTAATAGTTGCAAAGCCAGAGGCTATTTCACATGTATACTATACTTTTGAATAGTACCCACTTAGTGTAGGTCCTTTTTTTTTTTTTTTCCCGTTTTCCCCCCACATTTTATGGAATCACCAAAGACCCTAATCAATCCAAATACACTCATAGCAAACACAGGTGACACACACATTTCCATGAGCACAAGTCTAACTTTACGCATCCTATAAAGTAGTACCTAACTGGGGCTACATGTCCTACTGCAGTCATTGAATAGATATATTTTTTTTTCCTGAAACTTTTTTTTTGTAACTCAATTTACATTCCTTCCCTAAGCATCATCACAGCACACAAAATGCGATCTCCCATCCAGTACATACTGCATAGTGACTCAATCATGCACATTACAAAAAAAATAAATTTCCAATTCTAGTTCCTAGAATTATTTCCACCCCTCTTTCTGACCTTCTGTCCCTTCCCACCCTCCTCTCACACCACCTCCGGTGTCCAAAATTGTCCTCCATTCCCTTCCCACCCACATTGCATTGATCACACAATTTCCTACATAACCTGACTACTTTCAAAGGTGAGTTCCCTCGTTACTACTAAGAAAACCAGTTTTAACTTAAATCAAAGAACCGCCAAGGAACTTTGCTTAAAGCCCGGAAACAGGTTAGGATTCTGTTCAAATGGTAGGTGCATGAACCTATCAGTCTCATATACTTTTATCTTCTGTTCTGGTTCAATTTTCCTGATTAAATTCTGGGATATAGTATTCAACTCCAGACTTGTCCCTATGATTAAGTTAGCTACTTTCTCAGTTTTTGGACTCTTATTTCCATGTATCTGCGTTTAGTTTTCCTGATACAGCACATCCTTGAGAACTTCTTGGAGGTCTGGTCTGGTGCTGGTAAATTCTTTCAGGTTTTGTTTATCTGAGAATGTTCTTGTCTTTTCTTCCCACCTGAAAGATAATCTTGCCGGATACAGTATTCTTGGCTGAAACTGCTTCTCTCTTAACACTTGGAATATATTTTCCCATTCTCTCCTCGCTTTTATTGTTTCTGATGAGAGATCTGCTGTTAGCCTGATGGGATGTCCTTTGTAGGTAACTTGATGTTTTTCTCTTGCTAATCTTAGTATCTTGTCTTTGTCTGCAGTTTTGGTCAACCTGGCTATAATGTGTCTTGGAGAAGATCTTCTAGGGTTGATTCTATTTGGGGTCCGTTGTATTTCCTGGGACTGGATCTTTGAATGCCTCTCTAGGTTTGGAAAGTTTTCTTGCAGGATTTCATGGAATAGATTATCAATGCCCTTATGGGTTTCCTCACCTTCTGGAATGCCAATTATCCGGATATTTGGACGTTTGATGGTATCCAGTACTTCTCGCATATTATTCTCAAATTTTTGTGCCATTTTCTCAGTCTTCATGGTGGATTTTTCTAGGCCAGCCATTTTCTCCTCTACATCTGAGATTCTATTTTCTGAATGATCTAGTCTGCTTTTAATACTTTCAAGGGAGACTTTTACTTCTTGTATTATAGACTTCATCTCTAGCAGTTCCGTTTGAGTCTTTTGTAAAGTGTGTAATTCCACTTTTAGATCTTGCAGGAATTTCCTCATTTCCTGGAACTCATCAACTTCTTTCTCCTTTCTCTTTAGCAGTTCATTATCTCTCTTCTCTTCCATCTCTGTTAGCTTAGACATTATGAATGATCTGAATTCCTTATCAGACATTTCCATGATTTTCACCAAACTGCTTGTGGATGAAGAGTTACTCTTTTCCCTAGGAGGAGAGGTATTTTCTTGTTTTCCCATACTTCTCATGATCCGGCGGTGATTTCTTGTCATCCGATGGATGTTGTGTTTCTTTCAAATTCTTGAAGTCCAGCCTTAATGTTCAGGAGCAAGCAGACAGAGGTGATCTAGAATCTCTTTGCTGTTCTATTGTGCTCCCGCTAGCTCATTTATTGGAGGCTGAATTATTAGTAGAAAATCTTCATTCCCTTAAAAATCTAGTTCACTGTAGCCATGTGGAACCTTGTCCTGAAGGCCCGTGGCTTCTTCTAGTGTAGGTCCTTTTGAAGAAGCTCAAGAGAGTGGAACTCAAAGCACTTCTGACTTTTCTTACATTTCTTTGTGCTAACAGAAGTTATTTATTGTGGTTTAGAGGTCTATTAAGTTGTCGGGAAAGTCATGGTATACTTTTCTAAGCAAAAATGCATCATGACTTTTCCAGTGACCCAATAGTAGTAGCTATATGTTAATAAGCTGAAAAGTGCCTCTTGAAATATTCTATTCTGGGCCAGTTGAGTCATGCAAAAGTATATCGTTGAGTTACGATAACACAGTGTGAAAGACACTTTCACTCTTATTCTTAATACTCAGCAATTAATGGGAACTAGGCAAATATGTTAGACGTGCTCTATGAAAACAAAGTGCGAGGGCCAACTATGCTGGTCGGGTCCTGGAACCGGCAGCCTATAAAACACACCGGATACGATTGCTTGTGTGCCCATAATCTGGAGAGGAGGACAGAGGAGCAGGGATTATGGCATGCTATCCCCCCACGGGGTGCTTTCTCACTTTTTCTCTCTTCCTTTGTCTCCTTCCAGGGAGCTCACATGCTCTATGGCAAAACAAAAATGGGTAAAACCAAAAAAAAAGAAAACAAAGTACTTCCTTAACCTGAAAATCCAAAATCTGAAACTTTTTGAGTTCTGACATGGTAGCAATAATGGTAGTGATGCCAAATAACCACAGGTTGTGAAAATGGCTGCCTGGAAGTGAGACCCTTGCTATCTGATGTTTCAGTGTACACAGACTTTGTTTCATGCACAAAATAATTAAAAATAATTCTATAAAATGAAAATTAGGCCATGTGTACAAGGTGTATATAAAACATTAATGAGTTTTTTGTTTAGACTTGAGTCCCGTTCTTAAGATTTCTCATTATTTATATGCAGATATTGGGTCATTGAGAAAGCGATGACGTATATTTGATAGAAGAACAAATAATATATCATGACTTTTCCAGTGACCCAATATTTCAAAATCTGAAAAAGTTGGGATCTGAAATACTTCTGGTTCCAAGCATGTTGAGTAAGAAATACTCAGCTTACACCAAGATAAAAGGTACTTTCACAGTAAGCAAGGTTTTATGCCATTCAGAATTGTTTTGCAGTATATTTTTATTTAAGACTTATAAATAGTAATATTGGGTCATTGGGAGAGTCGTGACATATTTTTCTATACAAAGATGTGTCATGACTTTCCTGATAACCCAATTGTCTAATTATTACTTCATTCTTTTATGTGTAAATAATCACCTTGTTGCTTATTTATAGCAAATAAGATAGTCTCTTTCTATTTAAGATTGTATTGATTCTGTTAAGATTTTTTCCTAAATTAGTACTGGTTGGTGGATTGAACCAACCTGGCAATTATTTTAACCACCTAGATCACCTGCCTATTTGTCAGACTTTCTAATTTCTAAGCCTTACCAAAGAACAATTGGTAAAATCCTAAATTGCACACTTTGTACCAAACAGATAAACTGTTTTTCATAGATTTATCTTGTGATTGAAACATAGGTGAGCACTGAGCCCTATACATGTTCTTATAACTTTAATCAGTTGTACAAATCTAGAATAGTATACATGTTTTGATGAATTACTATAATTTATAAAAACTTCGTTTAAAAATTACTGATAACTGATTGATACGGAATTATATGGAAACTCTTTAACCAAAAGCAAATTGCCTTCACCTTGTATCTCAAATGTCAGAATGCATCCTTACATGTTAAAATTTTTAAGTTAATGAAGTTTGTTTACTGGTATGGAGTCATATTATAGATACTAATATAAAATGTACTGTTGGCTAGACATAATGTGGTTTCCAGATCTATTATTTTGACAAATATTTAGTAATGTTTTGAATAGTTAGAAACCTTAATCTTATACTTCTGGGCAGCATGATTTCCAAAGTATAATTTAGAGTAAAGGTTAAATTTAATCCCCCAAATCGTTAATGTTTTAGGTAGGTCTCTTAATTGATTCTTTCAGGATTTGAAGTAGCTACCAGGGTTAATTGACTACATAGTTAACCTATACTCAGAGAGTAGAAGAGCTTAAGTCCTAGTCACTGTGTTTGTCTTCAATATTTCTGTCACTCACACAAACTTCACCATGAGGTTTGGCTGTTTCCTTGTGCCATCTCCTTACAGCTTCATGACTATATTTCTTACAGCTCAAGGCAGTGTCTTATTCAAGTATGGGCTTAGGAGAGTTGTTTGTTTTTAAGTTGTTGGTTTGATATTTAAAATAATAGATTTTCATAGAAACATGTTTACAGAAAATGATAAAGATAATATAAAAGATTTATTACTACTGATTTTTTTTCCTTACTGGACTCAACAACAAAAAAAATTTTTTTAATGAAATATATATGAACTTTTAGTAAATAATGCTCAGTTGTTTCTGTTTTATGTACCTGTAGATGCTGCTGTTAATTCTGGAGAACTGTGGTTTGTAAACTTTTACTCCCCAGGATGTTCACACTGCCATGATTTAGCTCCTACAGTATGTATTTTTTATGTCTTTATTATTACAGTTTACCCTTTTTTATACATTTCTGTGCATGAGAGAAAGTGAAAAGCACCCTCAACACAGTCTGCTCATGTTATGGTCTTCTCTCCCTGGACTTTTGTTAATCAGGATCTTGGGCACTCACACACGTGCCTGGTATCGGCCAAGTGACTTCTAGCACTTGTCACCAACAGCCTTCAGTCCGGGCCAAAGTTTTATTTCTAACTTATCTGTCATTTGGGCTTTTCTCATACTTTTTAAAAATGTTGGATTGATTTTCTATTAATAATTATAATTAACAAATAATTGTCAAATTCTTTTGTATATGTGTGATTTTATTTGATGATAATTTTCTCCTTTAAGAATGCATAGTGGGACCAACAGTTGGCATAATGGCTATGTCACTGGACTCCCATGTAGTCGACCGCGGTTCGAGTCCTGGACCCAGTGGCTTAAACTCACACCAGGAGCATGTGTGCACATAACCAAGATCCCAAGAAGAGAATGGAGGAGAAGGGATGCGGCATGGCCATCCCCCCGGGTGGTGATTTCTCACTTTCTGTCTCTCTGTCTCTCTCTGTCTTTCTGGCAAGTGCACACATGCCCTGTAACAAAAACCTTTCCAAAAAAATAAAAAAAGAATGCATAGCCTAGGGTACCAGCAGGTGGCATGGTGGTTAAGGTGCTGGATACTCCCACACAGCTGATTACATTTCAAGTCCTGGACATGGTGGCTTGCTTTCTCACTTTCTCTCTCTGTATGTGTGGGTGTGTGTGAGTGTGTGTGTCTGGTCAAATTAAAATTCATGAAGGAATAAATAAAGTTAAATAAAATAATTCTTTTAAAAAAAGAATGCATAGCTTAAAATGTGTTTTAGGGAAGAAAACTGCTCTTGCAGTTATCTTAAATGTTCATGTTTTCTTTTTCACTTTTAGTGGAGAGACTTTGCTAAAGAAGTGGACGGATTACTTCGTATTGGAGCTGTGAACTGTGGTGATGATAGAATGCTCTGCCGAATGAAAGGAGTCAACAGTTATCCCAGCCTCTTGGTTTTTAGGTCTGGAATGGTAAGATCTAAAGTTGGCATTTTTTAAATTTTTGGAACTTTGTAACTAATAAAATAATAGAGGAAACACAATATATAAATTTGTGGATTTTTTTTTCCGTGCTATAGGGCACATACACTTGCCAAGAAGAGAGAAAGACACCATGTAAAAGTACCCCTTGTGGGTATGGCCACAATCCCTTCTCCCCCATTCTCTGGAGATTTTAGGCACACATGCCTGACACATCTTTCAAACCGCTGGGTGCAGGATTCAAACCATGCAACCATGTGTCATCTGTCTGCCTTAACTATCATACCACTGGACCAAATTTTTTAGTTTTAAGTCTTATTTTAGGTATCATCAAACTAGGCTCTAGTAATGATAAATATTTTATATTATTTATACTTCTTGATGATGTTATTTTGAGTTATTTATATTTCAAAATTAAAAGTTTGCCACTTTTAAGTTTCTGTCTTAAAAACATAATTTATCCAATATACATATTGTACTTTGTTGTCTGCAAGGTATTTTTACAGGTACTGTGTCATTGAATATAAAGCTCTAATATTCTTTTTTTTCCCAACTTCCTGTGATGAATGAAACATTTTTTTTTGTAGAGGTTTAGCTTTCGGGCATGTACACTCACCAGAGAGAGACAGTGAGAGGGAAAGTGATAAATTACCCCCCAGTGGGGATGGCCATGCCACAATCCCTTCTCCGCCATTCTCCTTCTGGGATCTTAGGCACATTTGCACACACACCCTGCATGAGTTAAGCCACTGGGTTTAGGACTCAAACTGCAGTTGGCCATGCGGGAGTCCAGGGACATAACCATTGCCATCTGCTGGCCCTGAAACTGAAATGCTTTAAAAGTACTGTAAATAGTATTATTAAAATAGCTTCCATAGAATCTATACTATCAAAATTCTTTGAGTATTATTTAGAAATGCAGTATACTGTTGAGAGACAGAACTTACTGTATTATTTGAACTAATTAAATATCAAAAGTATTTGATATTTTTAGTGAGTTTTTAAAAAGATGTTTCTCTTTTTTATAAAAATCAACAGGCTACAGTGAAATATCATGGAGATAGATCAAAAGAAAGTTTAGTGAATTTTGCCATGCAGCACGTTAGAAGCACAGTAACGGAACTGTCAACAGGTAATTTTATTTTCTTAATTTGCTTGATTTTCAAGTTACTTTGAAATTGGTACTTTAATTTTTAAATGGTAAATTGACATTTTGGTAATAATACTGAAATTTTATAGTATGTTTCCATGCTTCTTATAAGGGAATTGTGTCATTCTCTGATTTCTGCTGAACAGTAGGCATTTAACAAACTACAGTTGATCTTTGAGCAGTGTGACCTTTGGGTATCTGTAACTTCTGACTGCACATAAACAAACTTAATTACTAGCAGCCTACTGTTGACCAGAAGCCTTACCTCTAACATGAATAGTTGATAAGCACACATTTTGTATGTTCTGTGTATTTACTGCATTCTTAAAGTAAGCTAGAGAAAGACACTGTTATGAGGAACATCATGAAGAAAATACGTTACAGTATTATGCTGTATTTTCCAGTATATGTATTTTAAAAACCCACATGTAGATGTACCCACATAGTTCAAACTAATGTTTCCAAGTGTTAACTATAGTTATAGTGTACAGAAACAAACAACTAAGATGTGGAAAATGGATATGAGATAGAGCTGGGTAAAAAGGCGTCTTTCAAAGAATCACGGGATAATGAGGTTCAGAGGACTTAAGCATACAAGGCTCAGATGACAAGAACTTTACTTGCCAGTTTTGTTTTTGTTCTTTTCTTAATGAAATAGTGAATTTAGATTTTACAGAATTGAAAAATTATAATAATGAGTATTGGAATTTTGACATATTCAAGAGGATTTTTAGAAAAATAACTGATAAAGCTCAAAGTGGATCAGAAGAGAAGGAGATTAGAAAGAAAAAATCACTTAGAAGACTTTCTATTATCAAGTAATTGATGATCAGAAATACACTTTATTTTCTCTTAAGGAAATTTTGTCAACTCCATACAAACTGCTTTTGCTGCTGGTATTGGCTGGCTGATCACTTTTTGTTCCAAAGGAGGAGGTAATTTTACTTGTTATTTAATTGGAATGAATAGACCATAACATTTAAATTTTATGTGACACATCTACTATGCTACTATAATTGACTATTTAATACTTGAAGCTACAGTTCTTTACCCAAGATAATTTTTTGATTTAATGAATATTTACCTTTTTAGTTACTTTACAGAGAGGTTATCAAATTCATTTTTAATGTATTACTTACAGTTTTGTATTCAGTGAACAAGTTTTTCAGCTTAATTTACTTACAATAAATTGTATATTCGATTAGCCACAGGTATATTTGACTATTTGTAAAAATAATTAGTTCTTGACAGTCCCACCAGAAGTTAGTGATCTTTTGGAAATATAGACTTTGCCTCATGTATATAAAAAATTTGCATATTTGCGTCGTAAAATTATATATTTGAAAATAGTAACTTCCTATATCTAGAAACTTTTCCCTCAGTATATTAAATTCAGTATCATACACACAAAACCACAGACTAAACTGAATTCAATGTGGTTGGCAAAAAGTTGATCCCAATATTACAAAATATCCTAATTCTTTAATATACGTATATATGCTTAATACCAACATGGGTCCTTCCTCCACACTTCCCCTCTCAACTTTTACACTGCTTTATTTAAAAGGTACTGCCTTGTAACTAAAATTTAAATCACTTACCCCATCCTGTAAGGCCTGTGTTATTAGGAAGGCAATGCCTTTAAGCAAAAATTAGTCTTAATTTAGTTATCAACCAGGGAGTTCTGTCTCATTTTGCCTAAAGCCCAGATTTCTGTCCATCTAAACATGAACAAACTTTTTAAACTCTCTGACGTTCTTTTACCAGGTAAACTATACTTTTATCTACCTTTGTATGCTCTGTGATGCTATAGCTCTCATTCTTCTAGATCTTATCTCCTTAACACCTGGCATTCATATTTACAGAACTTTAATTCAAATAGTGAATTAAAGCAGCTGTTTTAAGAGTTTATTGTGTTTTGGGGCCAGCAGTTAGCATAATGACTAAGTTGCTGGACTCCTGTGTAGTAGATCGCAGTTCAAGTCCCAAACCTGGTGGCTTAAACTCACGCCTGGTACATGTGCGTGCGTGCCCAAGATCCCAAGAGGAGAATGGAGGAGAAGGGATTGTGGTGTGGCCATCCCCCCTGGGGGGTGCTTTCTTGTTGTCTATCTCTCTGTCTGTCTCTGTCTTTCTGGTAAGTGCACGCGCCCTATAGCAAAAACCTCTCCCCCCCGAAAAAAAAAAAAAAAGAAAAGAATTTATTGTATTTTAAGGATCCTTTATCAAATAAGTCCATTGGTTTTCTCCCTTGGATAAAAGAGATTATTGATAGGAGAAAATAAGATCCTAAAGAGATGCATGAGATAAAATGGCTCCTTTTCTCTGTAGGTAGAAATCCAGAGAAATGAAGGAGAGGAAATGAAAGAATGAGTATTTGTGTTCATATGTATGTATGTGCGTGTAGAGTGAGATTTTGGCCTCAATATCTACCTTCTCATTAAAGATTTCAGTGTTTACCAGTTCAGCCCAATTAAATACCTTAAAATTAACATGGTAATTTGGAGGAGGGCCAATAAAAGTATTGACTTAGTAAACCTAAAATTGCCTCATAAAGTTTTTTTTCCCCCAGATTGTTTGACTTCACAGACACGACTCAGGCTTAGTGGCATGTTGGTAAGCATCAATCATTCTGTAAAACTATATCACCTTATAAAGAAACACATTTAGAAACTGATTCCAAGTATTTTCTTTCATAGTTTCTTGAACTCTTAACTCACTCACCTTTTTCCAATCTTTCATTTTCTGATAAATGTATTCATAGTTATAAGTTTCTTTATAAATTATTTTGTGTAATAAATTTTGACATGTGATGCCATTGTTATCATTCTCTATTAGGAATTTTCATTAACTGAAGTTAAACATTATTGTTTTCGTAATTTCCAAACTTTATTTTTTGTTTTCTTTTTTTACTTATTTTGATCTTTATTTAGCTCTCACATTAAGATTGGGGATAACAGGTGTATGATGCTGATTCCTTAAAAATATATAAACTCCCTTTTGGCCTTTCAGCTATCAGTTTAGTTACCCATCCTTTTACTGAGCTTTTGGAGATACCCTAGAGATTACAGGATGTACTGTCATCCATTTGCTAGACAAAGCAAGAGTCCTGTAAGATTCCTTTACTGCCTCTGCAATTTTGCCATAACACATTTTAATCCTTTATGTTTCTTGTTTTTAGTTTTATCTTACATATAGTAAAATGAATATATCTTAAGTATACCATTTAAATTTTACATATGTGTACAACCATAGAATGATCAAGATCTGTCCTTTATGCTTGCGTTTATTTTTCATTTCTGATATTTTATTATGTTACACATAGGTGTGAGTTTATTATTTATTCTGTTTGAGATTTATTGAACTTTAATTTATACATTAGTTTTTTTTATATACAGTTATTATTTCAATACTTGTTTATATCCCATTTCTTCTTCTTTTGTCTTTCTGGGTTCCCAGTTAAATGTATATTAGACCTCTTTGTTTACCAGCTTGCCCAATCTAAAAAATTATTCCTGTAATTTCAAGGTCTGAGAAATAACTTTTTTCATATAGGATTTTGGAGTTAATTAAAATAGCACAGCAACATAGATGAAAACTAGAAAGCTACTAATTTAAATGCATATCTTTGACATGTAGAATATTTGATAAACTATGAATACGTGATTTTCAAAAGAGTAGTCATAATGTAAAATCTTATACAATAGTTTGATTTTATTTTTTTAACCTGTGACATTATTATAGCTTGCATTCTGCAAAAAACTATACAGTCTTTTATTTTAAATTCATTTTTTGAGAATTTATTTATTTTAATTTTATTTATTATTGTTATGATTAGAGCTGTGAACTGTGGTGATGATAAAATGCTCTGCTGAATGAAAAGAGTCAACAGTTATCCCAGCCTCTTGGTTTTCGGCCATGTGGGAGTCCAGCATCTTTAACCACCACGCCGCCACCTGCTGGCCCCATAGTCTTTTATTTTAAGTAGATTTTATATTATGGGAAAACTACAGTCTCGATTGAGTGCTATTTTAAAAAGTTAATTTTACAGTTAAAAAGTTGTTTTCTATCGAAGTAGAGCTAAACTTCTATAACTTTTTATTCCATTACAACTTGGCCATTTTTTGTTTCTCTTCATTTTAGGATGGTCTGGTTAATGTAGGCTGGATAGACTGTGCCACTCAGGACAACCTGTGTAAAAGTTTAGATATTGCAACAAGTACTACTGCTTATTTTCCTCCTGGAGCCACTTTAAATAACAAAGAGAAAAGCAACATTTTGTTTCTTAATTCACTGGATGCTGAAGAAATATATTTGGAAATAATATATAACCTTCCAGATTTTGAACTACTTTCAGCAGTATGAATCATTTTATTTTTTTTACATGAAAATACATGCACACCTTCCTTTTGGCTGGAACCACCATCTTCCA